CGGCGCCACTGGCGCGGCTCCAAGGCCCTGTCAATTAGACGCATTGAGTTCGCAATAAGGGAGACGCGACGGAGCCGCGGGGCAGAAACAGATCACTGCAGAAACAAACGGACGCAGAATCGGAAGAAGACGTTGCCTAAAAACTTGGCGGCAAAATTAGCAATGAGTGTTATGATAAGAAGTTACATGATTTTATCGTAAGCGAGTCCGTCACCTCTACAAACCTCGCGAGGTTTTTAATGAGAGGCAGCGCACAGCCCTCCCATCCAGCTACTCCTCCTCTCCCCTAGTCGGCCGGGCGGCCCCGCGCATCCAAAATCCGAGTCCCTTGTTCCGCGCCGACACCCAATAATCCAAACCTCGATCGAGGTCAGGTGGCCCGGCCGGCCGCCCGGGCCGGACTCATCCCCCGGCGGGTCGAGGCGGGCGGCGGGCGGAGCGGGGGCCGATGGTTTGTGTAGGGCCCTTTCTGCTGGCCGCGTCCAGAGCATCGTGACGCTCCACCTCAGCCCATCTCTTTCCAACACAATCTCTCTCCCTCCCTCCCGTACATTCGTGGCATCTACCTGAAAGAGAGAGGGAGGGAAGGACAGAGCGAGAGAAAGTGGGTGGAGGGCGCGTGCCGCAAACGCCTTCCTTCCCTTCCACTGCCAGTGTCCGGTCGGCAGGACAGGTGATGAAGGCCGAGTCGTGATTAATTTACATCGCACGCTCTCCCCTTTCACCACCGGCCCCCTCTCCCTCTCTATCTCATCGACTTACCAAACCCGTCTACCCAATCGTGTTCGGTCTCACTCCCTCCCCCCTCATCTCTCTCCCTCTCTCCCTCCCTCCCTCTCTCCGGGATTTGATCACCCAGCCGTCCGTTCTCATTAGAACGGTAGCAGAACGCGTCATTTCACCGCAACAAGCAGCCTGCTAGGGAGGGGAGGGAAGGAAAAAGAGAAGAGGGGAGGTGGTGAAGGGGAGTCACCGGGGAGTCACAGATAAAGAGCAAGTGAAAAAGAGAGAAGAAGAAATAATTGATTGACGTTGGTGGGTGAAGCCATCCCATCAGCCGCCTGGGAGGTAGGCACGGCTGACACACAAGTGAGACCGCGTTGCCTATCCTCCAGGCTGAGGCAGTCCTGCCTCGCTCGGGTGCTCCGCATGGCTCTCGCTCCCCCCCC